AGGGTTTAGGGTATAGGGGCCTTCATCATTAGAATAGGGTTCCTTTGAGGGTTCCTTTAAAAGGGTTATATAGGGTCCCTTTAAGGGTTCCTTTAAAAGGGTTCTATTAGGGCTACGATAAGGGTTTAAGGTATAGGGGCCTGAATGTACTGTACTGTAGTTATAATAAGGAGCTCCCCAAATAGTATAGGTAATTATGGCCCCTATATTGCGGGGGCGCCTTGAAACACCACTATAGGGTTCCTTCAAAAAAGGCTATAGAAGAGTAAATATCATAGTCATACCTTTAAGCACCGGAGTAGGGATCCTTTGTTAAAAGGCTATAAAAAAAGAATCATCATTGTCATAATTGTGATGATGATTATGACAATAAGAGTGTGATAATAAGATGCTAAGATTAATCATAAACTTAAAACTAATCCATGACATGTAGGGGGCGCCTGAACGTATAGGTAGGGGTTCCTCTTAAAGCGTTCAGGGTTTTATAATGATAACTAGAGCAGGGTTCCTTCAAAAGGATTCCTTTAAGGGGTGATACTATAAATCGAATTGGGTCCTCTCGAAACGGTCATACAATGATTAGAGTAGGGTTCGCTTCAAGTGTTGTGTAATCATAAGAATTGGGTTCCTTTAAAGGGTTCTCTAAGAAGCTTGTGCAATGTAGGAGCGCTGTCAAGAATAGAATAGGGTTCCTTTCAAAAGGATACCATAGCTCTTAAGAGCAGGGCTCCTTTCAAGGGTGCTTCTGAACGGTTTTATAATGACGGATTTAGGTTACAGAGGCCGTAGTCACTAGAGTAAGAGGGTTTGGGGGTACTTGGAGGGTCGGGGAACTTAGTAAGTGGGTAATAAGTAGACTTATAAGTACACTAAAAGGGATCCTAATTAGGGTTATGATGCTTATAACTCTATAAAATAACTACTTACTAAGTCCCCCGACCCTCCAAGTATGTTCTCACTCTCCAGACCTCTGCGTTTCTCCCCTTCTGGCTGTTTTGGGGAGGGAGCTATACTATCGGTGTCAGACGCTTGGGGATTCTTCCGTGGTTCTTGTAGATGGTTCAAAAAAGGGCTCCAGGGACTTAGTGTAGCAATCTGAAATTGTTTTTGAGGGGCTGAATGCTAGGATCCCGAACATTGAGGTAAGGGGTGTATTATCCAGGCATCTACATCTTTTACAATCCATCCCTATAATCCGTATCATGATCACCTGGTTGGTCTCATATCTTCGTGTTATTTCGATTATGGAGCGGTCGGAGCACGTCACAAATTACGTGCTTCTCTGAGCCCTGACGTCTGACCCTACGCTTTTTTTCGGCGCAGCGACTGCACGGACTAGACCGTCGCCGGGAGTTCGTGCTTAGGAAGAATTTTGCAATTACAATGAAAAGGACATGCTTTGTATTATAGACTTGGCTCCTTAGCAAGATCCCGGTATCTTTCCGCTGACCTCAAGGGCCAAATCGGTCCCATACCGTGAAAGATGCATGCACGGATGGTCCAGTATGGTTTAGCCTGCAGGGCTGCGGATGTCGAGCCTCTGGGTCGGGGTCTGAAGAGTCTTGGAACCAGCGTGCGACTATGTCGAGTCTTGCAAACGCCACCTTCTGATTTGCCAACGTTAGCTGAAGGGCTGCAGCAGCAACAGCAGGATCAGGATCAGGATCAGGAGTAGGAGCAGCAGCAGCAGCAGCAGCAGCAGCAGCAGCAGCAGCAGCAGCAGCAGCAGCAGCAGCAGCAGCAGCAGGAGCAGGAGGAGTAGTAGTAGGAGTAGTAGTAGTAGTAGTAGTAGTAGTAGCAGCAGTAGTCTTAGTGGTGGTCGTAGTAGTCGTCGTGCTAGGGGCAGCGGCAAAAAGCTAGCGGGAGATAGGTAGTATTATAGTGGCAGAACTAGTAGTAGTACGAGTGGTAGTGGTAGTGGAATTAGTGGTCGCTGTGGTGGTGGTGCTGGTGGTGCTGGGGGTGGTTCTTGTGGCGGTTGGTCATCGGCATCGTCGCAAGAAGAGGTAGCAACATCAGAACGCCCTTGAGATTTAAACTTTACACTAGACCAAGGCAGAACATGCGACTTTGAACGCTGCCGACATGGGGACTACCAATCCTAAGAACCCCGACTCGTCCTCAGCGATTTGAAAACAGCTAGATGAAACATGCAGCATTGGCATGCCGGGCATGGGAGCTGTTCTGCCACAGGGGTCGCGGCATTGAACATCAGGAAGGGTGATTCCCAAAGCAACCTTGTTGATAGATGGATGCAATATTTTGCGAGCTTTCGCTATGTCATGAATCAGAATCCTTAATAATTGCATTCGGAAGGCCTCCCGGAAGGTCCTAAGGTCAGAGGATGCCTACCAATGCCTGACCATGATGGTGGATTAAGGGGTTTAGGGTTTAGGGTTTAAGCTCTAGAGCTCTCTGGATTTGTAGGGTTTAGGGTTTACCTGGACCCTAAACGACGTACTTTGCTAAGGAGCTTTGTATCGAAACCGTTACAAGGAACCCTAAAATGAGGTCTTTCCGGCTACAGGTAGGGTGTAAGGTCTTAGGAGCTCTCAAGTTGGCGTCTCCACGTTTAGGGCTGGGGTTTAGGGTTAAGGGCTTCGAGTCTGCAGCAGTTCCGATGCTAGATGTGGGATGTTGAAGACATCACGAAGCATCCCGATCAATGTACCCGGCATGCGATCTGTGGGCCAATTTGAAGGTTCCCAGAAAGCTATGGACACTCTAATGAAGGAATGTCACTTAAGTCTTAAAATGAAGCCCCTTCTAATTTAAGGTGTCTTCCTGAATTTCGCTCTCCGGGTTGGCCCAGGTATTGGGATGATTCGGCTGAAACAGACACTCCTCGAACAAAGACTTGCACTTAGCCAGCTCTTTGCGTGCCTTCCCGGGCCTGGTGCTATTAATGTAGGGGCCTTCATAATTGGAATAGGGTTTTGGGAGTTCCTTAATCGACTAAAAGTATACTATACCCCACAACCCTATTCCAATTAAGGCCCCTAAACTACCCCAAACAGAGGATCATCAACATGCTCGGAATACAGGCGCACTTTGGCCATGTAGGGGTCTTCAGGAAATGAATTGGGTGGGGGTGTTTTGGTGCACGGGCTGTTTTGGGGCCCCTACATGGACCGGTCATAATTTCTGGCCCTCTAATTTATGCAAGCGAGTTTGGCTTGTAAAAAACTATCCTCAAAATTCCATTTCCCCGCAGGGCAACATCAACATGCCGTGGTTCGAGCCATCGCCCTGGACATGCAGAACTAAAAATATCGAAATCAAAAACAGAGGGCATGCCAAGTACGAATCATGTCCTTCCTATGGTTCCTAAAATGCTGTACAAAGACTTTACCACACACGCCAAAAACCTAAAGCCCTAAACCCCACAAGCGTAAAGCCCTCCATCGGATAGGGTTTAGGGTTTAGGGTTTAGGGTTTAGGGTCTTCGAGGGATGTGAGAGAGCCCAATCCCTCTCACACTGGTCGTGGATCAGCTCAGCCTTGGCTGCTGCACGGTGGCAGGAAAAAGTGTTTCGTAGGGCTCTAATGATGTATGCAGTTCTTATAGGGTTTTGAGCATTGATAAAATATGTGTACATATATATATATATACATATACACGGTTGCTGGGGCTTAGTATGGGCATTCTCGGGTGTTATGTATGAGGATTTAAAGGGATTTCTTCGCATTGTCGGCCTGTAACAGGCTGCCATTCGGTTAGGCATGACTAGGAAGTTAGGGGTTTGGGCTCAAGGCTTTCTGCGGGGAACCAAACGGGATAGTTCGAGCTAAACTTGCTCTACTTGCTACCCCTGAACGTACCAACTCCAAGTCTTCTACCTGTAACTCCATACTATCCCCGAACCCTACGCCACTAAACACGAACTCTAAACCGAAAGCTCCAAAACCCCTAATCATCGTGATAACAACCCGCCTCATCCCGACGCACGCATGTGTCTCAGAACAGCTGAAATTCATGCGGAAATCCTAACGCCTAGTATCGAGGCCGGAATAACTAGAATCCCGTTTAAGAGGGCTCTTTTCGGATATTATAAGTCAATAAGGCCAACAAAAAAGGCTTTCATGTAGGGGCCTTCATAGAGTTTGCGGGATGCACATGCGAAGGTTGCAGTACAATGATAACAAGGACGATTGGCAACTGTTCCGACCCCTACACGATACGAGGAAGCAGGGGCCTGAGACTCTCAAACCCAAAACTCCTAAACTTAACTAGGTTGGCCCCTCAAAGCCTCTGAAAAATATTCGTAAATAAGATCCTCTTAAGCCCAATAAGGGAAAATATAAAATGTCCCAAAGGCCTGCCTAGTTAATAGGCCTGAAGAACTAGAATAGGGGCTCTACAGGGGTTGTTTGGGGTTTCTAAGGGGAGAAAGGTTAAGGGTCGCGTTATTTAAACCCAGAAGCCCGGAATCATCCTTCCAACCCTGATGTGTCAAGATGATCCGTGGCACTGATAGCTAGGTGTGGACTTGGAGATCACCTGCTCTTCCTGCCATCTGAGGGCTTCTGGCACGAAGGTTCAGCTGCTCGGGGTTCTTAGAACTGTACGAGACTACAACGGTTTGGGAGTTCAGGGTGCAGGGTTTAGGTGATTGCGGCGATGGGTGATGTAGCGGCTGTGTGGCTTAGGGTTTCAGTTTCAATATCCGATTTAGGAGCCCTAAGTACTAACATCATCACAAGGTCCTTCTTTCAGGTGGCCCTTGGGTAATTTCGGTTAAATTGTGAAGTACACAGTAGACACAAGCATGGTCCTAAAGCATGCTGTGGATACCGCCCCTGTAGTTATACGAGGCCCTAAATGGTACCTGTACTACAGACTGTTACTGTAGCAGTGCAGTACCCAAGGTATGCCGGTGCAGAATCGGTTTTCGTCTCCAGCTGCTTTCCTGTCGGCGGTTTCTAGTAGCTGCAAAAGCAAACTTTACATTGTTTGGGTTTGTAAAGTGGTATTATACTTAAGCAATTCGCCTTGTCGGGGAGCCAGGAAATGAGCTGTGTCAGTTTGTCACTTTTCGGCTGAAGAAGTATGCACAAATAGAGCCTCTATAAAACCCTAAACCCACTTGGAACCCCTAAACCCATTTTTTGAACCCAGACTCTGCCAATCAGCTGCCTAAACCCCAAAACCCTGAACCCTAAACCCCTAAACCCTTTAACCCCTGAACCTCTGAAAACCGAAGCCCTGACCTCGAAAGCCCGACAACCTTAAACCCGGCTCACTGTGAGCCTAGGGTCTAGGGGTTTAGGGTTTAGGAGTTTAGGGTTTAGGGGTTTAGGGGTTTAGGGTTTTAGGGTTTAGGGTTTAGGGGTTTGATTCCGGTGAATCCTGTAACTTCCACAAACATGGCTCCACCAGGATATTATACCATAACGATAATAAGGAATCCCCCAACAAGTATAGGTGCTTAGGCCTTGGGGTTTGATCGCGCCTCGTCCATATCAACCGAAACTGAGGAGAAAAGTGGAGTGGACAGGTACCGCTCTCCCGTATCGGCAATGACTGCCAGCAGCACCTGAGCAGTACTCTAGCGTAAACCCCAATAGTGGGACCACCAGCATGGGGTAAGTAAGGGTCCTTCATTCTCAGACGCTCTGCGATGCCCGTAGGGCACATAAAAACTTCCCATCTTAGGGCTCATAGTTATTAAGAGAAATGAAAACATATCCCCACGACCCTCGAGCACCTGAACCCCGAGCCTGGAACGCAACACCCTAAAATCCTAAGCCCTAACGCCGCGCCATGCGAGTCCAGCTGCTGATCCTTCCGGTGCGCGCTTTGCCATCTCAACCTTGGAGGTTTGTGCAAAACTTATTTTGTTTTCGTTTAGTGTTTAGGGTTTGTGGAGTTTCGGGCGTTTGGACTTGATCGACCATCGTGCTTGCTGTAGCTGGGCTTGGTGGTTTGCCGGTGACAGCAGTTTGCAAGATGAATTCCCACATGTATGTTTTCAGTTCGGGGTTTAGGGTTTCAACTTCATGTTATGGGTCTACGGCTTGCGTTTTATGTTATAGCTTTGAGGGTTCTTTAGGGTTAGCCAGCTTCGAGTCTCCTCTTACATTACACGACCCGACAACTGCCAGCTGGTGTTGTGCAACTTTCCGGCCGTCTGGAATCGCAGGAGATGTTCAGCAAAACCTGGCTTCCAATCCTAGACCCTAAACGCTAAACCTAAAACCCCCAAGCCCTAACCCCACACTTTCTGCAGCAGCCATGTAGGTCTCAATCGTCATCTAGGATAGGACTGTTGCCTAGCTGCACAAGTTTTCTCTAGAAGCTCAGGGGTTAGATGGGAAGTTATGCTACCCCCAAAATGGTAATCTCAACTACTCCCTAGCTCTTGTGTCGAGAAGCCTGAAACGCCTGTAGTGTAGGGGCCTTCATAATCAGAGCAGGGTTTTGGGTATATTGAAACTACAGTTTTGACAAAGAACCCCTAAAATAGTATTGGTATTTTATAATTAGAATAAGGTTTTGGGATATATTAAACTATANNCCCCCCCCCCCCCCCCCCCCCAACTAGTACAAAAAAGGACCCTTTTGTATGGACTCACAAGTTTCAAACCCAAAAAATCCAGCTTCTGAAAGGTCATCGAGGCACCGCAGCATAAATTGAGGCGCCGCCAGAAATGCCTTCGGCAGTCGAGGCACAAATTCAAATGCACAGGGATATGGCCCAACCCTCTGCGCAATACGAGACCCAAACCAATGACCCTGGCACCCCAACTAATGAAGCCTTTTTTGCAGTATAACCACAAGACCTAAAGCCCCAGACGCTGAACACGATGCCCCAAAGACCATAGGACACATCACGTAGGGAAACGATGCTCTAGGGTTCTGGAGTTGAGGATGCATTAACTCCCACTCTGTAAACCAAGATACGTTCTTCAACCGTGCAAGAAGATTCGGTTTTCTCTGGATCCCGGAGATATGTTGTGCGCAATGGAAGTTGTAATTTGGTCGAGAACACATTCATCGACTGCCGTTACCTGATTCCTCCGTCTCAAAGCGATTGCTCCAGGGGGTGCTTGGGCAACTTGGCCGTTTTGCCTTTAACACTTCCTAAAGCTAAACAACCCTAAGAGCAATAGATAAATTACTGACACGTGTTTTGCCCCGTCATATCCTCCTCAAAAACAAGAGGCTGATGTAGGCCTAAACAGGCACGAGCAGTCTTTCAGGGCGCTTGATGAAAGCTCGACAATCTGCCGCAATGCCATAATGTAACTATTACGGTCCCCATAGCAACCACTATTTGAGCCGTCGTTGTTTGGGTTTAGGGTATGAATATACTCTCATCTAACCCCAGCAACCTGTTCTGATCATTGCAGCCCCCGTATTCTTGGAACTTTCAGTGTCGTGGTGAGCCTGTGAAGATGCCCTCCTTCTTCGCCAGGTCGTGGGCCATTTGAATAGCACCCGCGCCTGGTGCTGTAGGAGTAGAGGATGAAAAGGAGCAGAGTGTAGGGTTTAAGCCTGGGTGTTGAGGGTTTCGGATCTGGTGGCTATGGGTTTGGGGTGACAGGGTCTGGCAGAAAGTGATTGTGCCTCAAACTGGAGCCTAAGCGTGCGAGATTCTCAAACAGGTACAGTTTCAACACTTGTTGCAATTTAGCTTTTTCGTGTGACAACAGCACCAGCAGCAGCAGGAAAGTCTTCGCGATGATGATGCTGATAACGGGGTGATTATGAAGGTAATGACTATGCCCACCACCGTGGCGGATGAGGCGATAGGATAGCCAGGACGGGAAGTTTCCCTCTGATCCCCTGACCCCGTCACATCCCTCCACCGCACTATGCCACTACCCTGCACCAGGACCATCACGATCAGGGCTGGCACCATCAACAGCAGCAGCATCGCAGCAAGACAACACCCCGAGTTTTGTACAAGCAGCCAAGAAGTAGCAGCTTGAAAGCAATCGCCGAGGAAAGCCTAGGCCCTAAAACTCCGGAGTTTTTGTTGCAGCAGACACTGAAACCCCTAAGATTCTCTACTTCCCCCTCCCGAGCCCTTCGTTCAGTGAACATTCAGGAACCTACTTCAAGCCGTAAAATTTCAAAGCTCCACCGTAATGAAAGCAATTCTGCGTATTCAATACGTTTTGATGTCTCTAGCTCTAGGGTCCCTGGATTCGAACTTAAGTTAATCTCTTATGAACCTCTATCGTGAACCCCAAAGAGTTTGGAACCCGGATTAAGGACACTTAGTGCTGGGATTCCCTTTTCATTACTCTTAAGGATTGAGGCTGTTGGGTTTCCAACTTTGGGGCTTCTATTGTATATGATCCTGATAATGCCATATGGGTAGTTCTCCAAAGCCGGATCCTTTTAGGTCCATATAGTACGGCATCCTCTTCAAAGGGACCTAAACACGGGACCCTCATTTTGAGAACTATCCCTGTAGAACCCTTTGTAGAAACCCGACAGAAACCCTCATGGATCCCTTAACGGAACCCTTATATATCCCCATTATGGTTACTTAGACCCTTAAGCTCTAAACCCTTAAGGAACCCTTCTAGATCCCTCAATGGAACCCAAAAAGGGACCTACATAAGACCATGTCATCCCTCCCCCTGCTGCACCTGGGATGGTGACATGCTCCTCGTAGCCGACCGCCTGTATTCCATCCTCCGCGACCTCGGGGTGCCAGAAGTACGGGTCTACTTGTAATGTTTGGTTTGGGCAGGGCTTTTTCAAGGTTTAAGTCCAGGTTTCGGGTCTTTCTCAGAAGGTTTAGGGCTTCAAGGCTATAGCTTTAGGAGGGCGTGCGTGTCTTTTTCGGTGCTTAGGGTTTGGGATGCTTGTCCCCGGCAAAGCCCAGTGCAGATCACGTCTTTTTTGGGATGCTAAAAGTAGACTTCCTTCGAAAAGGTAGCTTCCTAGGAACCATGGCTTCTTCCTCGCCAATGCCTGGCTTTCAGGCCCGGGGAGTGCATGTGGGGCTGGATGAAGGGTCATTCTACCCGCCAGCTCCTAATTAGCTACTGCAGCAGCCGAATCACTGAACATACTTCTGGAAACACCTGTGCCGTGCCTGTACTTGTCTTAGCTTGGTAAATGCCTCTTCTGTGAGTCTAGCCTTGGTTTTGGGTTTTGGGGTTTAGGGAGTTCATTGGGCAAGCCAGTTCGAGCTTTCCGTCTTCAAGGGCGGCTCGATTTAACTGGCGTGTTACTTTGTTCCTCCTGTCGCATCCTGGCCCCTCCGCGCCTTCCCCCCGTTGGCTTAACTTGGCAATCCGGGTTCGCGGGCCGGATTCTGCTACTGCCATGATGCTGACAATGATTATCCTCCAAGCTGCTGTTTTTGCGACTATCAGCAACATGCCACCGTGCTCGTAAGGTCACAAGTATAGTGCTTTCATGACAGCAACCTACTGCATAGTCAGCTGCCTAAATACCAGGGTGCTGTTTCAATGCACGAGGTGAAAAGTTTAGCAGCCCATTGCAAGCAGTAGGTAACTGAGCCTGAGCTCTAGGGCTTCTTCGCCGCGACATCCGGGAAGCTGGCAAACCCCCAAACTCAACACCCTAAGCCCTAAGCCTTAAACCCTAAGCTCCAAAGCCTCAACCCTGAACCCCAAAGGTGCCTCGGCAATGAAATCCGGGGACCAGCCTCGTGACGAAACTTATGGGGGCTTCCTACCGATTCTGTAAAGTTTTGAAGAGGTTTTGCAGAGTTTCGACAAGGGTTCTATGTATCCTGCATGGCCGGGGGTGGTTAAGAGGGCAATGTAGGGCCTCAAGAACCAGAAAAGGGTGCCATTAAGGGCTATGCCAGGTTTTTCGATAACAAGGAACAGTTTCAGGTAGGGTATGGGGATTATCAACACTTTCTTCGGGGTATTTTACCGTCGCTGTACTCTGGATTCCCTAGCAAAGGAAAACTGTTCCTAATTCTATTCTTCGGGCCTCTCTTCTGAGAACTGCGGGGTTCAAGGTTCATTCCGCCAGGCTTCTCGTGTGGATACTCGAAGCAGCCAAACATCCAGCTTCTTGTCATGTGCACATTACCATCGGAGCTGCGGAGAACAGCGTTCCCTAAACCTAAACCGGAAAGCCCTTAGGTTTTGGGCTTGGGGATCGTACCTGGGCCCTGAATATGAATAACCTACCTGTTTAAAGGACGAATACAAACAACTCAAAATGGGGAGCCCTAATGAGGTAATGTAGAGACCTGATTAAGACTGGTTTTATAACCCCAAAATGTCAGGATTCCTGTAAAGAACCGCAATAAAGACACAGGGTTTCTTAATCAGGTTCCTATATTCAGGTTCTTGAGGGGGCTGCTAAGCCCCGTGGCCTGGCAGAGGGTCCCTAAACCCCCTGAGCCCGAAAGAGTCTAAAGCCTGAAGGTTTAGGGCTTAGGGGCGTGGGATCTCGCGACTCGAGCAATGCAGGGTTCAGGGGTTTAGGGATTTAGGGTTGACGGTTTAGGCTAAACCTTAGTGAGCCTGAGCCCTAAACAAGGTCCGGGCCTTGAATCGGATGGGGCTTGAAGGCCGGATGAGTCGATGCTGCAGAGCCATCCGGCTTTCGCTCCTGGGCCAGTCGAGGTGTCTTCATGACCAACATAAAGTTCCTTTTCAAGGGTTCCTTGAAGGGCTGTATGAGAGTGTGAATACACGGATCGTATATAGAGGTCTTGACGAGCAGAGTAGGGTATGTTCTGTACGACAATAGACAACAATAAGGAGCCCTAAGGACACACTATACGTAATCTTTCAGAGCCGGGGGTACAGAGTTGAGGATTTTAGGGGATTTGGAATAGGTCTCGGTTAAAGGCCAGTTGTAGTAAAGGGCTACGTGATAGTGTCGTTCTTCGGAGCTCTTTGTTGCTACAATCACAGCAACCCCAAATCTAAATCCTGAGCTTCTAGCTGGAGCCTCGATTGCAGTAGCTTCGTTCGGCTGCCTTGCTTCCAATCGTGGGACCCTGACTCATAGAAGAGAGCTCTCCGCAACATGACAGGGAGCACCATCATCCCGGATCAAGGAGAACCCCAATCCCATATCATATAGGGGCCTGAATACTTACCAGTTCCTTACTATACTTATGTCGTAGTTTTAACAAAATCTACCCGCAAACCCACCCTGCTCTAATTATGAAGGCCCCCATATCAGCTCTCTTGAGGAGAGAACGGTTCGGCTTTTCCGGGAGGCGGGAAGGTACATCCTTCAGTTTCAGAGTTTGAGGCACTCGGACTGTCGGAACCCCGCAGAGGTGTGAAGCTACGGTCTAGGAGGCCTCAGAGCTACAGGCCCTTAGGGCTTAGGATGCTTTAGGTTTAGAGGATCGGGTTTAGGCCTTAGAGCTTTAGGGCCAGGCTTAAGGCATTACGATTACACGCGAACTCTCGTAAGGCCCCTGGTGCTGAGCGGGTTTCAGGATTGAAGGGGGGGGGGGGCGTTTTTATGCGCTATGCTTTAGTGTTTTAGGAGGGTCGACTTCTATCATCAATGTCATATAACTTTTCCGAAGCCCTTCCCACCCCGTGTGGTTCTGCGACACTGTCACCTAGCGTTACAAGAGATACAGTAGGGGCCTTGGGGTCTACTATAGAAATGCATACAGGGACGCATTATCGCTAAGTGCCCAGAGCTCCCTACATCAGTCTCCACATAGTGATGGAGGGTAGTTTGGGGTGGGGGTATCGGAAGGAAAAGCGAGATGAAATTGCAATGCCAGTGCTATGTTCATGGGCATTTTCCTGCCACTACCTGCTAGTAAGAATTGTGCCATAACCCTAACCCCTTCTGCAGCCGGCTTTCCACGCCGGGACAGCTAACTCCAAACCTCAAGCCCTGCTAGTAAGGACTGTACCATAACTCTAAGAAGCCCCCTAAACCCTAAACCCCAAAACCCTGAACCCCAAAACCCTTTTTTCTCAGGTAGCCATGTGGCTGTCTTGATCCCCTATATGTGCCCTGAAGGGTCCCTAGAAAGGCCTACGGGTCCATCTTAGGGGCCCATACTTCCAACCTTGGCCATGCTAAAACCCTAAACCCCTAAACCCTAAACCCTAAAACCCTAAACCCAAAGCCCTTCTTTTCAACGTAGCCCAGGCGGCTGTCTTGATCCCTAAACCCTAAACCCTAATAGTAAGGACTGTCCCCTAATTGGGGTTATAAGTATAGTTATCTTACTAAGTTTCATGACCCTTTAAGTAACCATGCGGCTGTCTTGATCCCTGATGCCACCATGGCCGCGTCGGCGGGCTCGGCGAGGCAAATCCTGAGCTGGCCGCGGCTCTTAGGGGTTTTAGGGTTCCCTTGAGAAAGGATCCCTTTAAGGGATCCTTTAAGGGTTCTATAGGGGTACTCTGGGTTTTTAGGGGTTTAGGGTTCAGGGTGTGGGGGTTTAGGGTTTAGGGGTTTAGGGTTTAGGGGTTCAGGGGTGTAGGGTTTAGGGGTTTTGGGTTTTAGGGGTTTTGGGATTTTGTTGTTTAGGGGTTTAGGGTTTCGACTCTCACACTCGCACGCAGCAGGCAAGGCTCCACACAAGTCCGTCACGCGAGCAGCCACACATGACGTTTAGGGTTTAGGGTTTAGGGGTTTTGGGTTTTAGGGGTTTTGGGATTTTGTTGTTTAGGGGTTTAGGGTTTAGGGGTTTAGGGGTTTAGGGGTTTCGGGGTTCCGGGTTCAGGGGTTTAGGGGTTTTGGTGTTTCGGGGTTTAGGGTTTAGGGGTTTAGGGGTTAGGGTTTAGGGTTTGGGGTTTGGGGTTTAGGGGTTTAGGGGTTTAGGGTTTAGGGTGTGGGGTTTAGAGTACTTAGGGCTTAGGAGCCACAACTCTAGATCTACACAGCTAGTTCTCTAAGTTAGGGTTCCTTTTAATGTTAGGGCCCTTTCTCATAAGGGTGCGGTACTATGTTGGGGATCTACAAAGGGGCCCTAGTTTAGAGAACCCACGTATCGCGAATCTTTAACTCTAAACCCGCCAATAGAGCCCAGAGGAGGTACGTGAACAAATGGAAATGCGGGGAGACTCCGGATGGCAATGGCCCTACACGGCAAAGCCCAACGGCACCGACGAAGCAATCAGGACGGACGGGTGCGCAGGCTGGATTGTCGGGTAAGACGACGATGGAGAGCCGTGGGGCCCTGCTGGTGGTAAAAGTAAGACTATGTGTCCAACTAACGCTGACACTCACACTTTTCTTGTCTTGTCAAGCGGCCTTCTTGTTAATGCCTCTATTATCTGTGTCATTCTTCACCTTTTGTACTTAAGGTTGGTGTTATTGTCGCTGCCACCGTCTGGTACATCTGGTTCTGCTATCAACAGTGCTGCAAGAATGCCGACAATAGCAACACGAAAGCATAACTGGCAACGGCATGGTTCCCAGCCGTATCGATAGTCATACTCTAGCCTCTCGGAAGCCCTCCACCTCATGCCGGGATTGCACATGACACGCTGAAAGCAGCGAGCCTACACCTGAAACCCTCAACCCCAGAGCCATAAACCCTAAAGCCCGGATTTGCAGAAGTGACAGTTTCCACCAATGAAGGTCCCACATCCCACCCAGACATCGAGGAGCTTGACTTCTGGGCGCTTCTCCTGGCGATCTATCGCTGTAGGCGTGCTTGCCTATACGTTATCGAGCACGCACCCACAAGTGTCATGCGGTATTGAACACATGCACATACCCATACGTATGCAGTACGTTATAGTACATTACCTTCCATTAGGTTCGATCACACCACATCAAACCACATTACACCAAAACAACATTACATTACACACATGCACACATGCACACATACACACATACATGCATACTTACCTGCATACATACATACATACATACATACATACATACATACATACACACACACATACATACATACATACATACATACATACATACATACATACATACAATCCACAACACACACACACACTTGTGCCGTCAGCGCAGAGACATATGTGTGTAGATGCATAGATGCATAGATAGATAGTTAGGCAAGTAGATAGATGGACAAGGAGATAGATAGACATAGACAGATAGGCAAATAAACAGAGAAATGCAGGGCTTTCAACATGTTAGAAGAATGTCTATGGTACAACCCGACTTGAACATTCGGGACATCTTTTCTCAAAGTTCAAACGGCTCCCTCTAAAGAGGGTCTTGTGTTTTGCTTGGGCTTTCGGGGTTCAGGGCTTTAGGGTTTGGTGGTCTAGGGTTTAGGGCTTTGGGCGTTCAGGGCTTGTTTAGAATAGGGTTTATCGTAAGGAACCCCGAGGAACAATGGTGGAAATTGTTCAGGCTTCTGTGTTTCATTATTCCCTAAGCAAAGAAAGTTAAATGGATGATAGTGGTTCTTGAATCATATTGCTCGTTGCCAGAGCTTCCACATTGTCATCGCGCTGCGCGACCGGTCCCCAAACCCTGAAGAGTTTCTGGATGCATGGGGTGTCCGAAACATGATGATGCGTACCGTTGCTAGAAGCAAAGCTTGGGGCTTAGTGTAGGGGCCTTAATAATTAGCATAGGGTTTTGGGGTCCATTAAACTATAATTATAATAAGGACCCCCACCCTAAAAAAACAAAAACAACAAATCGTACCGGTAATTATTAAGGCCCCCTTTTTCGGAAGGCTTGAGTGGAAGTTGAAGTGTGCTGTCAAAGCTGTGAGACCATCGGCCGACCGAGACTTCGGGAGTTTCTCGCACTTCGCTGCATACTGTAGGGGCCTTAACAATTGAGAAGAATAGGGTTTTGTTGGCTCCTTATTATATTTATAGAATAATGGGCCCCGAAACCCTATTCTAATTATGAAGGCCTCTATATTACACGACAAGATCTCGGGGGCCCACCGGAAAGGTTTCTTGAACACGTCTTATGCCTCCACGGCCCAGCACAAGTAACATGAATCCGGAGCAGCCCTTTTTCACACGAGGCGCAGTGAGTAGATGCGCCCCCGAGGCAGCGGCCAAAGACCACGATCAAAGGGATCGAACATGTCCTTAGGGGCTGAGTACCCTGGCCCCAAAAAAGATTAACCTTTTCAATTATTGTAGGATTATATGAGACCCAAAAGGTTAAAGCTTATCCACTCAGCTACTAAGTGTCCATCAGGTGAAGTCCCTCCTCTGCAAAGGCCTCCACAGCTTCGCGGTCCTCGGGGGCGGCGCGCGTGGCCTTGCGATGGCCCTGGTCCTCCAGGAAGACCCGTGTCCCTGGCTTTCCCAGGCGTCGGAAGAGTCGTGCAAAGTCGCCAAGGCGTTTCTTCAGCTCCCCCTGTGGTGCTGAAGCCATGACCAGGACATCGTAGGGAGGGAAGACACCCTGTTGCCTCCAGGTACGATGGTCGGTGCTGTAGTTGAACCGGAGAACCGTCAAGCTTCCGTAGCCCCAAGCTCTCCCTCCCGTGTCTTCCACAAGGACTTGGGTGTTTCTGGAAGCTGCCTCCAGAGCCAAGTTGTCCACATCAGTGCAGCTCACGTCGAGGCCCTTCCTCATCAGGACCTGTTCTGTTCAGTAATCCACTGTGTTGCTTTAAACTTTCACCGGAACTCAGACGCCAAAACCACAAGCTTTAATCGGAATTCAATCGCAAAAAATGCAAAAGAAATATCCCACTGAACACAACCCACGGACCATGCAAGTGAGGCCGACTCCGGCGCCCAAGTCGATCGCCGAGCCTTGGAGCCCAGGCTGCAAGTCCAGGTAGACGGCCAGAGCCGTGGACCAAAGCCTTAGGGGCTGAGTACCCGAGCCCAAAAAGGTTAACCTCTGGAATTATAGTAGGATTATAAGAGCCCCCAAAAAGGTTAAAGCTTACCTACTCAGCCCCTTAGAAGCAGCGTGGTCTCCAGGTCGTGCACGAAGAAAGGTCGCAAACGGCATCCCCTCCCGGAGTCGCAGAGGAGGTCCTCATCCGTAATGCCCTGACGCAGCCGCATGGGCCCCGATGGGAGCTGAAGAATCAACTCCTTGGGGGCTAAGTACCCTAGCCCAAAAAAGGTTAACCTTTTCAATTATGGTAGGGTTTTTTTTTTGCACGACCCTTTTCCCCTCGCCGAGTGTTCACCAAGGTGAAAGCGGAGTTCCGCTGGGTGTTTGGAACCACAGGGGTTTATGGTAGGGTTTGGGGTTTAGGGTTTAGGGTTAAGGGTTATATAAACCCCAAAAGGTTAAAGGTTACCTACTCAGGTACTAAGACTCTGGAAGGAAGGAGGGCAGGTGGTCCACGGAACCGTAGGGAAATCCACAGAGGGGCAGAATCGAGTCGGACTCGCGGCACCTGTCTGGAGTCAGAGGGTTGCAGCAGGCTTCATATTCCTTGGCTCTCCAACATCCGCACGGAACCATGAATCATGAAGGTATACTCTTCCGATTTTTCGGTTGAATAATGCTTTCGAGAAGTCCAAAAAAACAAGTAACCGCGCGTATTACTGGCGGACCTAGATGCCTCCTGCATGATTTGCCACCAGTGCTGCTGGTAGCGCTGCCAGACGAGGCCAGGCATGCAATCAGAGGCATTCGACCACCTCTGCCTTACTTGCCCAGCATCATGGGGAATTACAGGTTATCCTTTGGGATTGTGATAGGGATTAATCCTAAACCCTAAACCCTAAAATCATAACACTCCAAAAGGTACAAGGTTACCTAAGCTGCTGCTCAGCTGCTCTGCGCACTGGACGAAAGGGTCCGAGCGGGAGAGATATCGGTAGGAGGTCTCAAGCTGCTTCCAGAATCGTGTGGCCCCACCGCTGTCACGGAAGTCCCCTGAGGGGAGGTGGTGCTTCAACGCATACGCCGAGGGTCTGTCGAGAAGATCTGACAGCCACATCACGCGAGATCACGATCCTCGTGCCATAGCTCGAGGAAGGAGATCTGCAATTCTGAGGGAGCTCGGGGCAGACTGCGTCAGTCAGGTAAAATCCACCCTTGGCAGAGTTGCTAGAATAATTGCAGCTGTAATTCTTTCATTTGCCCAGCTCGAACACCTGCGCAACACAACCCGGTTGCAACTCCCTGCCCTTATGTGTCCTGCACTCTCAATGCGCGGAACAGCACCACAGATGCAGCCCTAACACACCCTGCTTGCAACTCTGGGCAAACCCTTCAACCGCAACAGACAGTCCTACATACTTAGACTACGACTTTGATCTTGGGAAGTCGTAGTATCAGCAAGTTGGGAAGCCCCACGGAGCACTCTACTCACCACACTCTAGAGGCGAAAACATCAAGCACCCGAAGCCGGAAAACACACGAAACTCCCAAATTACGCCCAACCCCAAATCTGAAAGACCCGCAACTCTAAAGACGAACCCTCAGACAACCCTTTAAAATCCCTCTGAGCGATCCTAACACACCAAGGATACCCAAAGGAGCCCTGTCCTACTCTAAGTCCCTACTAAAGCACGGGGCTCCCGGAGGGCTCGCCCGGCACCGGCAAAGGTTCCACCAGTGCCAAAGCCCTGCACATAGTAGTCGAGACGGTGGCCTCTCGGGTGTAGGGACGAGGAACTGGTTTTTGGTGGGGTTTAGGCGTATAGGTATGGGTCATCTTAAACAAGTATGCATGAATGAACACATAAGCAAGCGAATCTACAATGTCTATAATGCAGGTATACCTGATTGTTTACATGCACGCACACATCCATAAGCATAAACGTTTGCATGTGCATATAACACAATAGAAAACAGTATGATACATCATGCACTATGACAAGTTCTAATACAATGCACTACACCACAATACAAGATGACAAAGTACACCACACCATAATGTAGCGCAATACATCACAAACACTACAAACAATAAACGATAAGATATTGCAATACAATATACACAAAAATATACGACGACGACGACTAATGACAGAATTTTCATAGTAGTCGTAATAACTGTAATAAAGATAGTCATGAAAATAATAACACTTAAAAAGAGTACATATCTGATAAGAACAGTAGTAATATAACAAGAATAGCGATACCAACATCGTATAACAACAACAGAACTAACACCACCACCACCACGACGACGACGACTACTACTAATCAGAATACTAATGAGTAATAAAGACTGTTTAACAACAACACGAACATCAATAACAAAAATATTATTACTAAGAAGTACATTTTCAGCAGTTCAGGTGTGTGTATATAACATATCTGTATGTACGTACGTTCGTACATACGTATGTGGTATGTATGTATGTATGTATGTATGTATGTATGCCTGTCTGTATGTGTAAAGGAATGAACGAACACATGTACACACACACATATATATGTATATATAGATAGATATATAATGTACCATATGTAGATACATACGGGTATATGTATATAGTACTTTTACGCACACACGAGGAGTTAAAGGTATTTAGGGCTTCGAGTTCAGGGACGCGCACGAAAGTTGACTGCATTTTAGGGAAACCTTGGAGCTACAGAGCCCGGCAGCAGTAGGGTTTTGCGGGTTTGAGATCTCTCTCACACGGACTGAACTTGATAATTTACATTCCTACAGCACACAAACCCTCAACCCTAAAAGCCCTAAAACTCGTAACCCAACCTATGCCTCTAAAGACCTAAAACAGAAGTCAATACGAGACGAGAGCCAGGGTCGGGCCGCGTTTCGGCTTTGTCAATGCAGCACCGGCTTTACAATCCCCCCTCCAAACCTGTAAGGAAAAGGGGTTTACTTACTTGGAGGTTCATGGGTAGTTATAAGTAGGGTTATAGTTCCCCTAACATGGGTTATAAGTATAGTTATCCTACTTATAACCCTACTTGTTATAACTACCCATGAACCTCCAAGTATCATGATCCACACTACGGCATCCACATCCTGCAGCCCGCTCAAAAAACCCATGAGACCCTCGGAAAGCCTCACTTTCACTGTCTACCAGGCCATGGGTGTTTCTAACATCGGGGCCTTCATGATTAGATAGGGTTCCAACGTGTGTCCTCTACTATACTTATAAATAGCCACGAGCAGGGAATGCTATGAATGATGATTCCGACTTCCAGATTACAGGGCTTCGGCTTCGGTATGCTTCGGGACACCCGGCACCCTGGGACCATGGGGGCTGGCCTTCGAAGTCATTTAAAATTTCGTGACCGGTAGTGTCGTAGTGAAACTGGGCATTCGCCTTTGCCTCGAACCTGTGCAAGGCTGGAATTTAGGCCTGTTCTAAATCAAAGGGTCACTTCTACGGCTGCCAGAATAGCACGGTACCCTTATGAAAAAGGGCCCTAATGCGGACCCAAACCCAAAGAACTACCCATATGCTGTGCTCTTAGCAACTGGGTAGGCAAGCAGGAACATAGCTCTGGCCCCCTCGTCGATCATGATTTACAAGGGAATCATAACAAGGTGCTCCAAAACATATCACCGTCCCTTCTGGCGCCTGGAGTTTCATGGCTTGAGATTTAGGGTCCAGGGTTGAGGATCCTAGGATGTAGACAGCAGAACAGGAGCCAGAGTAAGTAAGTGGAGCAGATCCCGGATGAAGCGACACCCCCGAGGACACGAGTCGAAGTACAAGTGCATAAATAAATACCCACAAACAACCCGTGCTGATAGCTGGTTCTATTCTAATTCTATGTGCAGCGATGGTGATGCGTCTTGCGAGAGTGTACTTGCTGAGCTCATGGGACGGATATTCGGGTCGTGAGATGTCACGGTAGTCCCGTGAACTTCTGACCAGGACGTCTCGAGACTGCCGCCCTAGATGTAGGACATGGACGATATGAGACACTTCCCCCCGCCCCACCCTCCTCCGATGCTTTCAACAAGGAAAAGATGTTGCTGAAGGAACTTCCTATGGCACGCAAGTGCTCGTTCAATGCATGCACTCCCGGCTCTAGGTTTTAGGCTCCGTCCACCAACCCGCTGAAGCTGATGAAGTTGCACAAAGCATTCGAAGGAGAGGTAATGTGGGGTCTTAGTAATAGGGTCTTGTGTTATCTTATGCTATAGACTCTACAGGGGCTATACGGGCACAACCTGAATATCTCGTGAATCCGACTTCTAGATTCCATCATCGCAGCATCTTCCTGAACTTGCACCAACGACCTAAACCCAAACCCCCCTCATACTGTGCCGGGTTACTGCCGCGCAAGGAACCTCGCTTGCACAGCTCAGGCAGTTGAGGGCCACTTTTTCGGGAGCTGGCTTGTGTGGCGCTGATGAGGGGACTTAGTAAGTAGGTTAATAAGTAGACTTATAAGTACCCTAACTGTAGTTACCCAATTATAACCCTACTACTTATAGCCGGCTTACTAAGTCCCCTGGGCCTCCAAGTAACTGTGCCTTATGAACAGCATGGGAGTCCCGTATATGGGTGCCTGAAGGGTTTCGGGGGCAGATTAGCCGGTAAGTAGATGGGGACGGTAAAGGGATTATCATCTTTCACGGGCTCGGGCGCTCAAGTTCTTCGGTCTTGGCTTCACACGCAGGTAGGATATCGAGGGTCTGCGTGTAAGCCTCGCAACATCAGGCTTGCATGACCCTAAACCGAATCCCATCCCTTTAAGCCTTCGAACCCAGACTCTGCTGATCAGCTGGGAAGCAGCACTGCATGACTTCACACACGCCTGCATCAAACAAAGTCATCCCCTTGAAGCCTTAGAAACCTTACACCCTCCTTAATAATTAGAATAAGGTTTTGGGGCCCAATATACTATAGTTGTAATAAGGAGCTCCCAAAATAGTATAGGTAATTATTGAGGCCCCTACTTGGAGGCCCAGGGGACTTAGTAACTAAAATAAGGAGCCCCCCAAAAAAGATTATAGGTAATTATTTGGACCCCTAAACCCTAAACCCTAAACCCAAAATAGTATAGGTATTTATTTGGACCCCTAAACCCTAAACCCCAAATAGTATAGGTAATTATTTGGACCCCTAAAGCACACCCTGAAGCCCAGGTGATATACTATAATTGTAACAAGGAGCCCTAAGGAGCCCCCACAAATAGTATAGGTAA